GTAAAAACTTCAATTAAATTTCAATAAAGTTAAAGGCATGGCCTCACCATTAATATTTAAAAAAAAAAAAAAAAATAAATAATTATTAATTTTGGCAAAACTTTTGTAATGCTGATGCAATTATTATATTAATGCCAACTCTAAGTACAATAAGCACTATGAAGCATAATTCAAATAGAGTTGATTCTGCTCGATTAAATATATCCTAGTACTGTATTATAATTCAATTCTCTATATATTATAGTACTAACTGATCTGTTAATTTCTTTCTAAGGATATATTTTAATAGTTAATTGATATTTAATGCAATGCATTGGTCTTATATCTATTTATTCTAATAGATAATCAAGTTTAAAACTATTTAAACTAGAGTTTGAAGGTTTAAAAGTATAGAATCATATTCAAGACAGTAGCATTAATATATTTGAGAGCCATTAGAATATGGACCTATTCCTATATATATTTTCTTTATTTTATTAATAAAATCTTTAATCAAGCAAAAATGGCATAAGAGAGAACAGAATTTAAGTTAATTCAGAATTTTTAAAGTTAGAATTGAGATTTTTAGCAAGGTTTTTTCAACTTTTAACAGGTGCTTTACTTTGAAAAGTATATCAAGAGTACACTAAGTATAACTCAGATTTGCATTATCTTGTGTATTAAATACAAAGTAAATTTTTAATTATATTATATAATTGGAAACTTTACTTTGAATTTAATACACAGTAAGATGCTCTTTTTATGCAATCTTAGATTATATTTAATATATTCTTGATATATTTTTCAAGGTAGAGCAGCTGTTAAAAATCAAAAAAAACCTTTGCTAGGATTTTTAGTATAATTTTTTTTTTTTTTTAAGGTGTTCTTCGGGACCAAGCTTTATTGATATTTAACTGTTAACCACATAGGTCTTATATTTAATATTACAACGAGAGTACAACTAGCCACATATATAACTTTTGATTGCCTATTTAAGTAGTCCACTCAAAGGTTCTATACTAGATGTCATACTTATAATCTAACTAGGTAATTATCTATTTAAACCCTCTGATCGTACATACCCACCAATTATTCTAAGATAGGTATCTTTATACCGAAGTGTTCCCACTCACATATCTGGACTTTGTTACCCCATTGGTTTCCCTAGAGTCCCCACAGGTAGGCATAGTGGCTGCTTCCTAATTCTTCTATGTTTTACACATTTCCAAATTAGATTCAGAGAACCTGTCTGCTATGGCCAAAATCAACACTAGCAGTCAGGACTAACTATTAAACCATACAATTCTTGGTTCCCCTGCCTTTACAAAGTTTGTTCCAATCCCGATATCTGCATTTATCTTCCTTCTGGTCCTTATACCAATTCCTCCCAAACTTTCAAACCAGTTAGCCTGGATAGGTCAATATATCTAGACTTTAAGTGTCTGGTAGTTCCCTTCCTTTGGTTTCTAATTCTGTAGCATAGGACCTTTTCCTCTGGTGCAACTCTGGCAGCCAGGTTGGTGAACCTTTCTTGCCTCAGGATTATTCGTCTGGTTCTTCGGTTTCTGGTTTTTAGGGTTCCGGCTTCTGCAGTATCATTGAAAATCTTCACTACCTCTTTGCTTGGGTTTTTTCAAATAGGTTTCAATTATTCTGGTTTCTTGGCTTTGTCTGTGTGATGTCACACAACTTCATCTGAAAGCTCCCATTCAAGATGGTGATACCAAGGTTACAGGTGGTACACCCAACCGATCGTCAAATAAATGTTAATGAAACAAATCTTATTTTTCAAAATCATCACCAGTGGGATTTGAACTCTAGATCTGCCATTTGGAGGAGTGACAACTTACCAACTTCACTAAGTCACTACACCCTTCAGTATAATTATTCTGTTCTAATCTAAATGAATTCTAAATTTATTATGATTCTATTCTTACTTACAATATATATACTAACTTATAATATTTACCTATAGCTTCAATATAAAACTATTTTATGATTGTTGTGTTTATATAATAATATATAAAAAATATCAAGAAAAAAATGGATATGCATCATTTCACCAACAATCATTTTACCAACAATTCATTTCACCGACAATCAATTCACCAACAAGTTTATTCCTCAACGACAACTATTTCAATGACAGCTCATTTTACCAACAAGTTTTTTTAAAAAATTGCACTAACCTTAACTCTAATTCTAATCTGACCCTAACGAAATGACCAGAATTACTTTGTCGGTGAAATGATTGTCGGTGAAATAACTGTCGGTGGAATAAACTTGTCGGTGAATTGACTGTCGGTGAAATAGGCTGTCAGCGAAGTGATTGTCGGTGAAATAAGCACCACCAAAATAAGTTACCCGGGCAATTGATTTACATCAGCCAATCAGACGAATGTCCTCCTATGACTGGAGTAGTAGGTACATCACGAGATCTCCCGTTATGCATGACTAATCAAAATCCCCAAAAAAAAGTAAAAAATGCGAAAAATAATGTAAGAAAAAATGTCGAGGGACGATTTTACGTATAGAAACCTTTTATATTAGCCCATACAGACCCTACAGACCCTAAACTGATCCTAACCTTAACGTTAATTTAAATTCGTAATGGACCTGGCTTTAAACGTCCCCAAATAAGGAAATAGAAACGGTGTAGTACCGTATAGCGCTGCATATAGTACCCCCTGGAATAGTATCACCCTTTTTTTTACAAGCGATTTGTGGTCCAGTTTTCATATTAATAGTGCGATCTTTTCATTTGGTTTGATATGTTTAATAACAAAGTATATAGTGATCAGTAACGATTAATTGTGTTATCCTTCCATCTCTCGATATTTGGGGTATTATTCAATCTAGACCGGCTTTTTTGTAAAATACCCGGGGTACTGTATGCAGCGCTGTACGGTAATATCGGTCTCGGAATTTTGAGAGACGGGATTTTAATGTTGTCAGGATTTATAAAATGTAGACATTTAGAAAGTTAAATCTCACGATATATAAGATTTGGATAGGGATGGCAAATGTTTTAAAACGCGATCTTAAAAATCGTGTTTGTTTGATTTAAATCTGTTAAAAAATGTTTTAATACATTATGACGTAATTTGATCTGATTGCGTAATTTAGTATTTATGATTACTAACATCAAAAAATTAAAAATTCTTCAAAGCAATGTTTCATGTTCGTGAAGACATCTTTAAAGTCGCGTCAAAAATGCAATTATTGCGAAGAAGACTGTTGATTCAGTTGATCGATTCAAAAACTTCCAAGTAATGAAATTTATTGAAAGTTCATTATTCTATTTCAAGTGACATATGCGATTGGATTAATATGAGAAAGATAAATTATTTATTCATTGTATTCCTTCTAATCTTCAAATAATTTATTCGCAACAACTTATTTAATGAGGTTTACATAGTGGCGATATTACTGTAAACTTAGACTCTCAATACTACAAACGTAAAACTAATACCAAATAAAATTGGCTGATGGAAAATTTATACATTTAAAAATAAAATTGATAAAATTACTGTAAAGTGATTTTCTATAAATTTATTTTTTATATATATATATATAATAAATTCGAAATTATATAGCATCGCTTTTTTAAAAAAAACTACTTTGCTGACAATTAAAATTAATCAGAAGCAATATTTTCATTTTCAGCAAAATTTTATCTCAGTCTTAGATGTTTTAAAAAAAGTTTTAAAACAATAAAAAATGTTTAAAAAACTGTTTAAAACGTTTTTTTACCATCCCTAGATTTGGATAGTGACATCCATACATCATGGTTACTGCAGGATTTTATCGGGATTCTAATTCAACGCTCATAGGAAGAAATTCGTGTTCTACACATGATCGCCCGTGATGATTAATCAATCAAATTACATAGTTTTAAAAAGATTCGTTCGCTTTAATACTATATACTAACAGCTAAGAAACAAAAAAAAATTTCATATGAAAAAATTTATAAATGATTAAATATACGAAAGAATAATATATTTAAAGAATAGCTAAATACTTGTAAAGTGGCCGAACTTAACCCAACGCTCATTACGATTGGTAAACCCCAAACAAGTTACAAGAACAGAACATATTCAAGTATTAAACCCAGATCTCTTTTTACTATAAGATTATTATTCTTATTTAAATTAAATAGTTAGCGATAAAAAAGTTTATTTAAATCTAACGCACTCAGGTAGTTTTAAATAGAAATGCTATAATTTGGTATGGACCAATAAATGATAGAATACTTTGTCTTCTAAGTAAAGTTCGTCAGTTTTTGGGATTTTTTTGCACTGTGAAGGATAGCGCTCTTCTAAAGCTGTTAATGTTTTCGGTGAATTTTTATTAGTGAACCGTCACGTTCTCAAAAAGTACCTTTTTTTACTGCAAAATTAATTATTTAAGGATGAAAACGAAAAACACGCTTATTTTTTAAGTTACTTCTATGAAAACACTATTGATAGCTTGTCTTATTCGGGTTTTTATTAACTACGCCTTTATCAAAAAGACATTCATTTAATCTCGCAAGATCTTATAACAACCAGTACAAGAAGTGTCTAGACGCGATCGAACAAAAACACGGCCCTTTATCAAGAGAAAACTTGAAGGTAGGTAGCTTCATTAAAAAAGTCGGATAAGGTCAGTAAATTTTGCGTGCAGAAAGCAAAAATTTTGACAGCATAACTTGGCTTTGAGTCAGGTCAATACACAGGGTGTTATACGCTCCACCTTGGGTTTCCTTGGCGTGTGTCATTATTGAGCAGGGTGTTATACGCTTCACCCTGTGTTTCCGTTGCTATATTAATTGTTAAAATACACATTGTTTTATTAATTCGTTTATTACTTTCGAGGTTGACATAAAGATGGAAAAAAATTTAATGACTAAGCTTAGTGAATTGGCACGAAACGAAATAGTCGAAGAAGTAAGTTCAATAATATAATATATTATTATTACCTATTTTATGTACTCTATTATACTCGCGTATACTTTTAAACATCATTATTATTTATCTTATATTTCCTATTTGACTATCTTGTACTTACGTATACTTTAAACATTAACTTTCTGATCCTTCTCTTCAACTAATTGTACGAATTTTTTTATACAATACAAATACCAAACTTCATTAAATACGCATGTAAGAGAGGAAAAGCAATTATATTCCGGCCAACAATTAGGTATAATGAAAGTTCAGTTAAATTTATCCCATTTCATTATACTGACTTATACTGTATTTCTGTAGGATCTAAACGATGAGATAAATAATTTCCCGAGCAAAGATCAACCGACCCCATTAAGAGTTCTCCTGAACAAAGATCAACAAACCCGATTAAGAGACGGCGAAGATCGGAAATTACAAGCGATGAACGAGGCACTTCCAATGAAGCAGATAGCAAAAAGGACCGAGTACGGAATTAATTTCAAACACTAGTGACATCTCTAATAGAAACCATATATGTCGACTAAGTAATATTGAAACTTTAAACGAAATTTGGATTTATGGGTCAGTCCGTACCATATGAGTATTTGGGGGAAAATTTCTTAAATTCAATAAAAATATAATTTTGAAACTTTGGACAAGAATTGTTGTAAATTGTTATATGGTATTACGTGACAAGACTTGCGCTAAGTTTAGAGCATCTACTCAAAAATATATAATCAAAGTTGATCAAAAATCCCCAAATACTCATAATAGTACGGACTGATCCATATAATAATTTGATGATTCCGAGCGAATTATTTTAATTATCATATTTTTAGATTGATAGTTTTTTTTTCTTTTTTTTTTTTTTTTTTTTGCAGGCCGGATCAAGGGATTTTATCTGTTCGACCCAGCTTGTATACTTTAATCTATTCAAAAAATCGATTAATAGACCTAACATAGATATGTAATACCATACCCATATTGTATTTTGATGAAATGATATAAACCGAGAAATAATTATCGTTATCAAGAAATTGCATTATATTATCTGTTATAATAAAAATAAATTCATCGTGGATTACGATACAAAGTAGAACACAGTTTACGACTGGTAATTCCATTGTTACAAGTTGCAACAAAACAAATGTGTATTTGGGAGTTTTCAATAAACAGGGGTCTAGACCATAGTTGTCACACAAAGTTATTGTACAATAAGATAACAGGGAACAAAAATTTTTATGTTACCATTAAATCTTTTTTTTTGATTAAGGAAAATCTTGGAAAAACATTTTAAACTTCAGAATTCTTGTGCGTATAATACGTATGCACTAATCGTGCACAAAGCAAGAGTAAGTAAACAGATAAAACATCATTTCATTGAATTATATCTAAAGTACAGTAGTAAAATAAAAATAGTAGCGTAGTATAGCTTTACATTCTTATACATATATTTAATTATCAGACTCATCAACTTATAACGATAAGTATGAAAACGACCATACTTATAAGTATAAGGATGACCATATTAAGTATAATGATCATACTTACAAGCAGTCAAATTTAAATTTATGTTCTCAAAAAGAGCTTAATTTAAATTATTAATGTTCATTATAGTGCTCCTAAAGAGTTAAGTTAATTCTGGTAACCCAAATTAAAAGCCCAACCTTAAGATCCTTTACGCCAACTCGAGTCAAATCTTAATTTTATAAAATAATTTTATAATAATACAAATCTATAGATATTAAAATACAACCAATTTTACTTGGGTTCAGGTCGACCTTAAACTCGACCCGAATAACCTTTTCGGATCAATTATTCATTATGTTGATTATTTTGGAGAACATTTGGAAAGAATAAAATGTTCTCAAATAGGAGAACCTTATTTTAAATGTAAATGTTTTTAAAAAAAATTAATGTTCTTTGAGAACCATGAGAACACTGAATTTTAAACACTGCCTATAAGATACAGTAAGCATACATAGCGTTGGCTAGCAAAAATTGTAAACTATCATATTCAGGACAATATTTCAGTAATACATACGTACTTATAATTGTGATCGATTATTGTAAAGTACAATTAAAAAGAATTATACCATTTATTATTCAGTAATGTACAGTATTTTCACCGATTGAAGAAGAATAACTTAGGTCAATTTTCAATGTAATTGACAAACTTATTGTAATTCAATTCGCTATACTTTACGTTTATAAAAAGAATAAAAATAGTGTTCGCTAAAGTTTCATTTTCACAAAATAACAAATAAAAAAAAATTTTTAAACACTTTAACCTTATTAAAATTGCTTTAATAATATCTTTATATCATCTTTAAGTTCACAAAAAAAGCTACAGTAATTTATCTGTTAAAAAATTTCTTTATTTGTATTGTTAAATAACTCATCCATTAATTATTTTTATTTTAGTAAAATATAAAATTGTCGATTCTGGAAAAAAAGGTTCGCCTTAGAAAATACTATGCTTTAATAAGAGCTCGAAAATTTGAAAATTTTGGGTCCGTTATAGAGGTTCGTTATAGAGTCAACTAAATACGAAAAAAGTTTACTGAATAAGTTATGAGTTCATTATAGAGTAATAGCGTAATAGCGATAGAAACGATATCAATATCATGATATAGTATTCAACGTTTACGTTAACTATAGAGAGAAATCTTAATTATCATTATGAATATCGGTATCCGAAACTGGCAAATTTGTCCGGCTACGTACGTACGTACGTACCATTTTTTCTAGGCGACGTAATAGTAAGATTAAATCAATTACCGCATATCACGTGAACAAGTTCATCTTTACGATTGACCATATGCCCATACAAATACATCGAAAAGCATAGGTACGAATGGTCATGTGATTGGACTAATGCCGGCAAGCCAAAGATGCCGGAAATAAATTCAATTAAAGGACTTTAAGTCCGCAGAATACATTGTGAGTAATTTGAGCTACGTAATTTGAGCTGAGTGATTTGAGTTGAGTTATTTGAACTGAAACAATGATATGCTCTCGGGAAAATTAGCAAGTGAGATTGCGCCGGGTATCATCGTAACAGTAGAATGAGTGAGAAGCAGC